CAGGTCAATCCAAGGAAAAGTCACCTAAGAAACCTCAAATGAGCAACCAATATGAGAAATGGAGCCAATATTTTTAGCTGAGAAAACCAGATAGATGGTAAACTTGGGAGATAAAAAGGAGCAGTTACGGAGGAGAGATTATGAGTTCCGTTGTGGAAGTGTTGCGTTTGAGGTGCCTGCGAGAAGATGTGGCCAGGCGTTACTTCCACTTGTTTGTGCACAGCTGGGGACTCCATGTGGACTCAGACATAAAGATTTTGAAACCACGGAAATGTAAGTTTCAATTTAAAAGTTAAGTAGGTGAGTAAGGTCAGTCAGAGAGACTCTGAAATAAAGAAGAGAAGTAGCATTGTATACAAACACAGTTTAACCTGGACATAAATGACCGTGCATAGAGTGGAAGAGTAGGATTTGGTTAAAAACAAAAGTGTATATATCGATGCAGTTTTAGAAGGACACTTCAGAGCTGTGGAGAAAAAGCAAATGATCAATAAAGCACAAAACTGTTGCTGAAGCAAGTAGAGGTAGCTTCAACTATCAATGCAGCTGCTGGAAGACTTATTCTGTGGAAGGCGGAGCATCAAAAAGTTCTTAACACACCCCTGCTGAGCTGATGGTTTCACTGCTCCCAAGACAGAGGGTGGAGGCAGGACTGAGGAAAAAACGCTATTGGGACCTCATTCTGGTGAACAAGAGCTGATGAAAGCAGTAGACATGATGGGAACCTGGGAGAAAATAACGATGTCATCTTTGAGTTTATAACAATGTAGGGAGAGAGAGCTAACACCATGTGGGTTGTTAAGGGTATATACCTCTGAAGCCCAAATTCCCAGTTCAGATTCTAGCTGAATGCATGTTACTTACTCATTCAGTGCCTCAGTTTCTGCTTCTGGAAATAGGAATGATAATCACAAACAGTTCATTGGGTTGTTCTTGCAATTGAATGAATTACTACTTATAAAACATTTTGGACAGTGGCTAGCAAAAATTAATGTAACCTAATAACAATGATATCAATTGATGTATACCTTGGATTTCAGAAAAGTTCTTTTTGAAAACTTTGTAGATAAGGTACATTCTCTAATATACCTAGAGTTGATTACTGAAGTTTTCAGGTGGGATCTGTTGTCACTGGATGTCAGAGTATATTCACTTGTGAAACCATCCCCGTCATCCAGTACTGGAATCAGGGTTGGCGTAGTAACCTGCAGTAGTCAAGAAAAATGAGCACCCACAGGTGATTTAAAGTCATGTCCCTAGAAAAGACAGAAGGTCAAAGCGAATGAACCAAATTCAGTTAACAAGTTTCAGGTGCAAGTTTAGGGTCAAGAAAAACAATAAAGAAATGAGTAGACATTACAACAGAGGTGGCCAGGACAACAAGATGGGAGGGAAGATGAAGGGTCCATGACAACCTGGCACCTGAGAGTGTGTGTTTCCATAACCTGTTTTATGTCCTGAGCCATGCTGTGTGGAGGATCATGTATATGTGGATACTCAATAAAAGTAAGCTTTTGCTATGTGATCATAAAGATGCCAGGCCAGACGACACTGCTGGGAAACAAGCCAAATATCAATATCTATCTATTTCCTTCACATACATACATAAACACACACATATGCAACCACAAACACACACACAGACAAGCTTTGTGAGTTGATGCTGTAGAATATAGAGCTATGGAAGATACTTTAAGAAAGTTCAAATCCAAATACCAGGACTAAGAGGAGACAGAGTAGGAAAATAAATGTATAGTAGGTATAAAAGGTTAAACCGAAAGGTCTCAAACCAAATGTAGCACACAACGTTTTGTTTTTGTAATTTCTGTGGACAGTTGACCCGAATAAATAAATAAATGTATTAACTGCTTATACTAAAATATATAGATCCTTTTATCTTCCTTTCCTTGTTTCCTTTTTGCCTCCTTCTTTCCTTTCCTTTCTTTCTCTTTATTTTCCTTTCATCTTTTTCTCTTACTCACTCTCTTCCTTTGCAGACACATGGAGATTTTCAGCATCTTTTTACCACAATGGATCATCAGTCCTGCATGACAGTCAGCTGGGGGTGGCTAAGTAGTTGGTAAATAATGGCTGCCCTCCCTGTAGGTGGGCTTTGGGCCTTCCAGTTCTCCACCTTTTACCAGCCAGGCCTGTAGAGATATGTATGTGAACCATGCACAAGCACTCAAGAGTTTGGGAAAGTAACATAAGATACAAAGCAGTTAGCATAAAAGGACGTGACCTAAGAGAGGAAACAGTTGGTAAACCAGAAGCATAAATCAACAGTGAATGATTGGTAAGTGGACTGATCTGGTTTAAAGGGCCACAGATTTAAAAAAACTCACTGTAGTTGCAAAGGACACTGTTTGATGAGCTCAGCTTTTAAATGAACACAGGAAAGGGATTCGGGCAGGAATTAGGAACATAGAACTCAGGATTAAATTGGAAGATTGGTCTGAATCTCTAAGAAGGACGGTGAGTACTCAAAGTGAGTTCAAGTTTGCAAAACTTTCTAAAGACAAAACAGTGGAACTTTTTTCTTTGTGCTAAGTTCAGAGTCAGAAGATGAGGGAAGGCAGGCTCTGGGTACCACATGGTTCAATACTCACAGAGGACAATAAAAAACCGAGACTAATCGACTCCTATTTAGCTTCCACCTTCTTCAACCAGGAGAATTATCTCCAAAGTGGCAAAAGGAGAGCAAACACAGGAGAAAAGTGAAAAGCAAGACAGGTTGGGAGATAGTTTGAAAATATAAAGCCTACAAAGGCTTTATTATATTTATAATATTTATATGTAATCCTCCGGCCTAAGAAAAATTACATCTCAGGGGAGCAAAAGAGCTGGAGATTCAATAACAGAACCACCACAAACTTTGAGGATGTCTAAAAAATGGAAGAAACTGGAAGTGGAAAAAAGTAACTTTTGTTTCATTTTAATTACTTCTATCTTATACTCATTAAGATAATTCACATCAGAAGTAGGAAATTAGAGCATGTAGAATGGTATTAAGAAGAAGAAAAAATTGCCTATAATTTTACCTCTCAATGTCAACCGTGGTCACCACAGCCTATTTTCTTCCTGACAGTTTATAGATATTTTTACCTAGTAATAATATGATTTTAAAATTACTCGTCAGGATTAGTCAACTTTGCTTAAACCATAAACATTGTTCAGTGCAATGATTATTCAAAACATTTCTTTAATAACTACATAACATCACAGTTTGTATATTCACTTTGTATATGGAATTTGTACATCACTTCTCTTCCGGTGATATTTGTCTCCAGTTTGCACTGTTATAAATGAACTGTGATGAACAGCATGACACAGAAACAATTATTTTTTAGATGTTGCCTTAGCATTCATTCTTTCATTCTGATTTGGGATAGAATGACTGTGTGCATTAGACAACTGCTTTTCAGAATTTGATTCAATGTACATGTACAGCAATTCCTTCCCATGGGATCTTCAAATGAATGGAGTCCCAAAATTACTTAAGAATTTGCAGTTTAAGGGTGAAAAAGATACATTGTTATTTTGATTTTTATTTGTTTACATTTCAATAAGGTAGAAGAGTTTTGTATGCATCAGTAGTCATTTCATTGGTAAACATCTCTATACAACACTTGACATTTTTATTCTGTTTAAGGTATTAATAGAAAGAGCTATCCAAGTGAAATAACCATGCAGTGTCCATTAATGGTTTTTGGTTTGGATATTTTTTCTGATATGAACGTTTAATTTTGGAGCTTTGCTTTCAACTGAACAATGCAACTACCACAGTTGTTTGTACTTCATCCAGTCGTGTAGCTTTAAGTATAAAAAGATAATCAGTCCTCTCATATTACCACATTACTATTCTTAGGTTCTTAAAGTGACTTAATGTCTTTTTCTGCAAGAATATGTAAGTCTCAAGTTTAATAGAGCTTTTCAAACCTAAGAAAACAATTCTGTTGTCATTAAATAAGAGTGACATCTTAGATGAGTATATGAATCTTGAGTCTTTACCACTTCACCTAAAAAAAAACAATACCAGACTTTCTCTATATTGAGTAATTAACTTAAGTATATTTTTAGTTACAGAAAACGAAAATGAATAGTATATTTTCAGAGGCCATAAACACATAGCTGTAGTCTTGCTTTCAAACTAGATTGGTAATAATGCTACACATAGAATTCTCAGGTCACAATTTCTTCTTCCAAAAATTCTATAGGCATTGTTTACAATTTAGTGTTGCCACAATTAGAGTCTGAGACCAGTGTAATTATGTTCCTTTTTATGTTATCTATATGTCGTTTCTCCTAACTAAATATGTACAGAATTTGTGAGTCTCTTACTATTCATTTCATTTTCCTGGAGTATATGCGGTCACTTTCAATCTGCAGGCTCAAGTTAATTTTACCTTATAGACATGAAAACGTTTTTCTATTTTCTTTTTCTTTTCTTTCCATTTCTTCTTCTTTTTTATTTTGTTTTTTTGCAAATGAATGACTCTTGCTGTTTTCTTTTTTTATTAAAAAAATTTACTGGCAAGCAAAAATGTGTTTATTCAAAGTGTACAACCTGATTATTTGATATGTGTGTGTATGTATATATATATATATGCATGTATATATAGGAATGCGTGTGTGCATATAAATGTATATACATTTGATACATAAAAATGTATGTACATTTCTATATATCAAAGATAATATCAAATGTGTGTATATCTATATAATACTTATATACCCATGATAATTATACAATATATATGGTGTAATTGTGACCACAATCAAATTACCATATCCAATACCAATCATCGTTACCAGGACACTTAAAATCTACTCTCTTACCAAACTTCAAGTAAACAATACAGTGTTATTAATAATAGTTGCCATGCTGTAATTAGATCCCCATAACTTAATCAGCTCATAACCTGAGGTTTGTACCCTTTCACCCATTTCCCCCCAATCCCTTCTCGCTCACCAGTCCTTAGCAACCATTGTTTACTCACCGCTATGAAGTCAACATATTTAGATTCCACGTGTAATTGAGATCACCTGGTCGTTTTCTTTCCGTGTCTGGCTTATTTCACTTAGCATAATGTCCTCATCCATGTTGGCTCAAATGACACAATTTCCTTCATTTTATGGCTGAAAAATATTCCTCTGTATTTTAATATCAATTTTCTTCATTTGTTCATCTGTCAGTGAAAAGTTTAAGTCTCTTGGCTACTGTGGCTAATGCTACAATGAACATGAGGGTGCAAATATCTTCTCAAGATACTGATTTTGCTTCCTTCAGATATATACCCAGAAGCAGGATTGCTGGATTGTATTCTAGTTTTATTTCTAACTTTTTGAAGTATCTTCTTACTGCTTTCCATAAAGGCTGTGCTAATTTATATACCTACCAACATTGTGCAAGGTGTCTCTTTTCTCCATAGCCTCACCAACACTTAGCTTCTCTCTTTTTGTAATAATAACCATCTTAACAGGTGTAAGGTGAGATCTCATTACAATTTGCTTTGCATTTCTCTGATGATTGGTGGTGTTGCACACCTTTTCATATACCCATTGGCTATGTGTGTATCTTTTTTTGGAATAATGTCTATTCAGGTCCTTTGTCAATTTTTTAATTGGTTATTTGGATAGTTTTTTGAAGAGGTGGTTTTGGTTTATTTATGGGCAGGTGTGGTATGTGTGTGATTCGTTTGTTCTTTTGCTATTGAGTTGTGTGAATCATAGCATAGTGTGAATGTTAAATATTTTCTCCCACTCTGTAGGTTGCCGTTACATAGTGTTGGTTGATTCCTTTGCTGTGCAGTAGCTTTTTAGTTCAATGTGGTTCCACGTTCTTCGTTTGACTTTCATCAGTGCTTTTGGTGTCATGTTAAAACCACCATTTCCAAGACCAATATCAAGGAAATGGTTTTTCTTAAGTCTTTGATTAATCTCTCATACATTTTTTCTTGCTTTATCTTAACAAGTGCAACTTTTAGTCTCTATTTTATGCTTCCTATATTTTTAATTTTCCAAAGTTTTAAATCCTTTTATTTAGAACACTGGGAGAGCTTCTTAAGTTTATTACCAGTTCAATTTTTGCAATTTTATTCCTGCTCTTTACTGTTTCCAATGTGGATTTTTATTTTTCTATTTTAGGGAGTTCCCTTCTATAACCTTATTTTACTATCTTTTTCCCTGTCCATGACCCTGTAATGGATTTCAGAACCTCCTCAGATGATTCGTCTAAGCAAGTCACGGTTATTTTACCTTTCACTTCAGTAATTGCCTAAGGAACATTCCTGTGGTCCAATTCAGGTCAGTGTGAAAGCAAAGTCAACTGACTGCTTCTGCATAATGCTTTTCTTTTCTAAGAAAGAGACTTAGGGGCCGGCCATGGTGGTGCCCACCTGTTATCCCAGTACTTTGACAGGCCAAGGCAAGGTGGGTGGATCACCTGAGGTCAGGAGTTTGAGACTAGCCTGACTAGCATGGTGAAACCTCGTCTCTACTAAATACATAAATTAGCTGGGCATGGTGGTGGGCACCTGTAATCTCAGCTACTTGGGAGGCTGAGGCAGGAGAATCTATTGAACCCTGGAGGTGGAGGTTGCAGTGAGCCGAGATCGCACCATTGCACTCTAGCCTGGGCAACAAGAATGAAACTCGATCTCAAAAAGAGAGAGGAGAGAGAGAGAGAGAGAGAGCCTTAGGAAGAGGAGTCTCCTCATGTGCATATTTCATATGTAAGGATGTGATACATGAACATGTTGAGCCATCTTCACGTAAGCCTTTATGATCATGAGGTAAAGCCTCAAAACAGAGAACCAACACAATGAGGTTGGAAAAACACAGAAGTTCTGATGACAGCTTGACCTTTGCAAGGAGCCTGCATGACAATCCACTCTGCTTCCATTCTTCCCGTTACATGAGAAAATCGCTTAAGTGAACCCACATCAGAATTACTGTTTGTATCCAGAGATACTAATATCAGTCCCTGTTTCTACCTCCTATTGGCTGTTATTGGATTTTTCTTAGGAAAGTAAGACAAATATTCTCAAACATTTCAGTCTTATTCTCACAGAAAACTATTTTCAGAAACATATTGCCCTCTGAATCTTCAGGGTAGTTTTTTGCCTTTATGTTGAAAAACCTTGCCATAAACCCTATGTCATCCTGCTAATACTACCCTGTGTACTCATCCTTGAGAACTTCTTCTGATGCTTTATTTTACAAGAGTATATGAGTTACTCTTATCCAGGTACTTAGTCTACATGTACTGATGAATTATTGCTTTTGTTTCTAGACCTGTCTCAGGAAATGTGTTCAGAATGGGGTATTCAGCCCTGGTGTGGATGGACAGATAGGTAGACAGATGGATAGATAGAGAGTTATGTCATTTATTCCAGTGTACTAAGGAGACTAGTGAACTAGTTAGCCTGTTAAACTATATTGAAGAGTCAGACTGGACTGTAGTTTTTTTTGTTCAAGGAAAGTACATTAAAAAATCACATCTGTTGTTGTGTACTGCTTAAGTGATTCTTATTTGCTCACCCAGCACAGGCATACAAGACTTTTCCTGAGGTCATTGTGTAACACAGGATAGAATGCAATACTTGCCCCTTTCTCTACTTTTGATTGTGTTATAAATTGGAAATTGTAACTTCAGAATGAAATTTCAATATTCCACTTAAACACAATTTCCAATTTTTATTTAACACCAATGGAGTAAACTCATAAAAATAGTTTCAGCATACGAAGATGGGAAATGAGAACCATAATATGGTAATAAACAAGTAAAATTCAAAAGCATATGTCTTTAAAAGCATGTTTTAATGCAAGAATTTATCCCCCAAATCAATTGCAGCTATATTACAATATCTTTTGTCTGGTTTTACATGAAAAAGGGGGAAACAGCATACATCTAGTTCATATACACTGGGATTCTATGTATCATCACAAGGTGTTTATTTACAGATGCCTGTATCCCACCATCATGTATAATTTCAGTTTTTTCTTCAATTATCAAAATATGTGATTTGACAAGTAGATGGTCATTTAAAAAAAAACTTCTAGTACAATTGTCCTTTTTGTACATTTTAAAGTTAGGTAACTGAAAAAATTATCTTCCATGGAAGTTCTTGTGCATCAGAATGAGAGTGGCTGCCAGATTTTCTGGTCAATCTTTAAGCCACAAAAGAGCAGACACCGAGGATCTGGTACATTGAGTGGAATGTGTCTACAACTGGAACGTGCATACATTCATACAGTAGCATATGGTCTATTCCTATTTTTAGTTTCCCATGTCATTGCAATTTTTGTCTCCTGATCTTTCAAAATATCTTAACTAAAAATTCTAAGGAGACATAGCAGACACCAGGATTTGGCCTTCACACTAATTATAATTCCTGTATTATAAAAGGAGAATATGTCAAACACACACACACACACATACACACATACATACACACACATACACACACACACACATACACACGCATACACACACACATACACACACGCATACACACAGACACACACATACACACACACATACACACACACACGTCAGTAAGCTTGAAAGTATTGTGAATACACATTATATTATCCAATAAAAGTATTAAACAGACTTTAAGGAGTACTTCAAATAGAGTGGTGGGCATCAAAGCATGAGCATGTGTTCACCCAGTTTACTTCCTCCTTAACGGATCTTATTTCCTTGATAGCGGAGCTGACTCTACTGATAAATATGATGGGACACTAAAAATCAGTGTCATCAAGTGTTTTTCTTGCATCCCTGAGACTTGTGGGCAGCCATGATGTAGGAAGGGCTTCCGAGTAATGGGGGTGATGGGAACAGCTTTACTGTCTTTCCACTCTGATTCCAAACACAGCAGCTTCACCATATTATGCTTTATAAGTTTTGACTCCACATAAGACTATTCAAAATGGAGAATTATGCTGCTTTTAACAGAGCAAACAGTAATCTTACAGCCTTCCTATTGAAGTGTTTTTCCTTTAGGAGGAGACGTAACAAAGTCTCTCGTGATATTCTTGAGACTATAGAAATAAAGTATGGATGGGACGAGAATACAGTTAGCTAGGCTGTAGCTAGCTAGACAGCCATCCCTATCATGCCAGCCTGGTTTTCTGTAGTGATATGGCAAGGAAATACTGACCAATTTAATATATTGATTACTAACTTAAGAGAATATATAAAAGACGTACTAGTTAAATTTGCATTTAACTAAAAATTGAGTTAACTAGGTAACATGTGGCATGACATTTAATATTTAAAATTATTTCAACAGACAAAAAACTTATTAGCTTTTACTAATAACTTATTAGAGATACATTTTTACTAACAACTTTTTAGAGATATATTTTAGAGCTACCTTTGAGGCTTAAAAATGATTTCTCCAATGCAGAACAGATGAAGTATAACTTAAATAATTCATTTGAAAAAAAACCAACAGGTTTTTGTGAACAGCAAGCTTGGTGTGAGCCAAAAGCTTTTCTAAAACAATAAATGTAATTTAAAACTATGTTATGTGTAGAACTTACAACATTCCAGGTGGCCCCATTAGTAGCTGGTCTATATCAGGAGAGGATATTTGAGTTGGGTATGGCTAAATTGTCTATCAAGGAACGTAAGAAAATGTCAAAAGATCAGCTGTTTACAGGGGAAGATGCAGGCATTGAAGGCGTCAGGAACAGAGAGGAGAATAGAGAGAAGATACACGATGTAGGACAAATCAAGCTGGCTTCAAACCCCTGAAGGCAAAGATTGGTTTGGACCAAGGAAAAACTTGCCATTTGTACCGTCCTGAAAGGAATGGTCAGCCTCACAAAGCAGACTTAACGATCTTTGTAAATCTTCAAGCAAAAGCATTGGGTAAAAAATTAAATTTAAAAACCCAAAGTATTTATTTTGAAGCTTAAGCTTCTATAATCTCATACACAACAGAAGTGTCAGACAATACCTTCACTTCTCTGATAAGGGTTTACCCCCACGGGAACATGGGAGACTGCCTGATTCATGGTTAGGGACATGAATAGCTCCAAGAAGCTCATGGTAATTCTTTATCACTTTATTTTAAACAAAAAAGAAGACATTCTAAACAAATTACTTTAAAAGAAAAATAAGCTCTTGGGGTGGGCGCCAAAATGGCCGAGAGAAGCCAGAGCCAGAAGGCGGCTCCCAGTGAATGAGAAGCAGAGGGCTAGAGGACTGGTTTCTGTGGGGCTGATAGGGCTCTGAAAATAGGCCCAGGGAAGGAGCCGCAGGGAGAGAGCCACCCAGGGGGGCTAATCAAGATGGCGGGGAGGGGCGTGTCCCCACCTGAAACGTGCAGCTGGCTTGGAGGGTCTTGGAGGGTCGGGGGACTTAACCCCCTGGTGTTCCAACTCCGATTCTGCGCTTACCTCATCCCTCCTGCAACTGACAGTCCACAAGAGCCCTGCCAGACGCTGGGGCGCTGTGGGTAGTTGATGCAAATCTGAGAAGCGGCTACTGCTGGGTGGGTCAAGTTGTCGTGGGGACCTGGGTGGGAGTTTGGACTAAGGAC